TCCCTACCATCATTCCTGAGCAAGCAGCTGCTTTGTATTTTACTGGAGAGAGCAATGCAGTGCTACACACAGATGTGTAGTAAGATAGTACTGTAATTAAGGGCAGTGAGAGGTAGGCTTATAGTAATGTAAAGAAGACCTAATGCTGCTGATAAGCTTTTAAGCAGAGGATTGCTAAGATGGAGATGCAAGGAGATTTAATATATCAGTGTCAGCATGATAGTGTGGTAATGTGGTATATCCCATAACAACATGAACTAAATGTTAGACTGAACTCCTTCCTGAGGAGTGCCATCATTGTGGATTGACTTTTAAGTGCTTTAAGATGTATGGTTTCTCTGGACATCTGCACAGAGGAGTTGTGCAGTCTTTGTTTAATGCTTCATACGTTCACTCTGTAAGACTGTGAGTGCATGTGATGCTTGGTAAATGGCACACAGACGGAGGGGCTAATGAGAGAAAACCAACTACATGTTTTATTTTGGTAGCAGTGAAGTAACTTTCTCAGTGTTGAGGCAAATATGTTTCTGTGTGTTCCCTGAGAAGTTGAGATATGTGGCTAGTTTTGGAAATAATTAATTTGTCTGCTGCTGTGTGTCTATAAATAATTTGTCTGTTGCTCTTCTATCATACTCCTGAGCTTCCTTGCCTGAAAGAGATGTTATCTTTGTTTCCTCTAGGGTCCAGTCACAGTCAAAGTCCAGGTTCCCAACATGCAGGACAAGACAGAGTGGAAACTGAATGGCCAAGTGTTGGTGTTCACCCTGCCGCTCTCAGACCAGGCATGTAGCTTATTAACCTGGCCTCTACCCCTTCTTGTTGTGCTGCTGAGTTTCTTTGCTTTGGGAACAGCAGTTGACCTGCATGGCAGGAGCTGTAAGGCTCTGGCTGTTCCCCATGCCAGCAGGGTTTGTATGGCTGGCGGAGCAGTGCTGCCTGTCCCTACAGTTGGGGGGAAAAAAGCCTGAGCAAGCTTTTTGTTTCTTCCTAGGTGTCTGTTATAAAGGTTAAGATCCACGAGGCCACAGGGATGCCAGCTGGGAAGCAGAAGCTGCAGTACGAGGTGGGTATAAGCCCTTCTGATGCTGTTTGTTACTTCAGTGCTTTCTCACACATGAACTGACTTTTTACAAGAAAAAGTTGTAATGTACCTCCTGAGATGGGAGGAGCAGAGGCAATGTTTTTCCTGTCTGTATAGCACGCCTGGTTACAGAACTGCACGCTGTTACAGCAGGGCAGGCCTTTAATAGGTGGCATCAGTGGATCTTCACATCATCACTGCTGCAGATGAGTCCTCCGAGCTTGATGGCTTTCCCTGAAATCTGCCAGTTATTTTATTGGGGGGTTTTGACATTTAAATGCAGCACTCTGCTCCCACTGATCTGTCGTGTGTGCTCTGGAAGGTGGGCGAGAGTGCCCTGAAACCCTGGCAGCTCTGAAAAGAATTTCTCAAAAAAAACCCAAAAGGGAAGAGATCTCTCTCTCTCTTCCTCTGGAGCCTGGAGCTGTTAGAAAGGCGCTGTTCCTTTTTAATAACTTGGTTCCAGTCGTGCATATGCACAGGCACAACCTGCTGTCTAAGCAGTGAACTTTGTGCACTTATCTCCTCAGGAGTTCATCTGTGGGCAGATACTGCGTTAACCCTTAGCAAGAAAGGAAGCTTATTTTTTTTAAGGAAAAAAGGAGGGGTGTGGAGGGAAGTGGAGCCTAAATAACTTCACTTGTTGTGGTGACCATCTTTATATGTTTGTTAGAGGTATATAGTGTCTATTGTCCATTTGTACTCTTGCATCATTCCCATTTTACCCACTTCCTCTGGTGCTCATCTTCCGAGACATTGGGAACTCTCCAAGGTTTTTCAAAGCCAGGAGGGCTTCATCTGTGTGGGGCTTTGTGGGAAGGGAGCATTAAGATTTCTGCTGTGACTGTTTTTATTTTCTCCTCTCCTCAGGGTATCTTCATCAAGGATTCAAACTCCCTGGCTTATTACAACATGACAAGTGGCTCTCTGATTCACCTGGCACTCAAAGAAAGAGGAGGCAGAAAGAAATAGGAGCCATGGAGCCCAGAGACGGCAACATGGCTGTGTTGCTACTTGTGTAACCTCAACCCTTTGAATCCTCCCAGCCTTTTAGGGTCTACTGTGACTGCCTGCCAGCTCTAGTTTGAAAAGAGAGACTATGAAACTCATGTTCTGATGAGAGGGGAAGTTGTTAGAGCCCTGAAATCTGTAGTGTAGTGACCTAGTCTGTAACTGCAGCAGCCTGTTAGTGATCGATGCTTCGCCGAGTGCTGGCTCTGTTGAATTCCCTCATGAAGCAACATTGAGGTCATGCCCAGCTTAGTCTAGATCCACCTTTGAGGGATTTACACTGACCAAGAACATCATCCAGCTGACTACAGTGCTCGCTGCTTCATTTAACCTTTTTCTAATCGAAAACTTCTTCCTTTTCAACATACTTACTAAGCCCCTTGTTCTTTCTCTGTCTCAGATTTCTCTGCAAGAGCCTCTTGCACTGACCCTGACTTGGAAATTTATCCTCCCTCAGCATGAGTGTACGTGGCTGTTGCCTGCGATAAAGGAGATCTGGGTCTGTGCACGCTGAACGACTTGTGCTTCTGTACAGCCTGTGATTTGTTTTAATAAATGCATCTTAGTGTGGGATTCTGTCTGTCGCAGCTCGTTCCTTGGGTTGTAGGTTTTATTAGATGGAGATGTGCTTGGCTTCAGCACGCTCAGATGGGTTGCGGGCAAATACATTAGGGTCTTGTAATTAGGTGGTTTACTATAGGAAATACTTTTATTTTCCAGGAAAGCCTACAAGAAAAGGGTTTTGTTAAAATTTCCCTGGTGCTATGCAGTTATTACTGAATGTAAAGCATGTATATATGAATGCTTATGTCTGTGTATGGGGGCAGACAGACTACTTTGAACTTAGTGAGAATTTTACTGGAAAAGGTGTTTTATGCTTTGTATCATGCAGCTGGCATCTCGGTTCTGGAGAGCAGATGGGTCTGGAAAACAGATTATTTCTGTGCCTTCAGTCAGAGCTGTGCTGTAGTTTGATAGAAACATAACAGAGCAAAGTTAATTGACAGAATTAGGTGCTGAGTAAGAGGTGGGTGTCTGTGATTTGGGTACCTCTTTCCTTTTGGGATAATCCAAAACCATGGATTTTTTTTTTTTTTAGTGGCATTACAGGAACATCCTGTTTACCTTTTTCTGTGTTTAGGGGAGAGAGCTGAAGCAGGAGGGAAGAGCCCACATCCCCATGGTGGGTGGGAGGAAGCCCTGTTGCTGTAGGGAAGGTGCCTGGCGCTGGCCCAGCCCAGGTGGCCAGCGGTCCCCCCCT